TCATGTCTCGCACTTCTCGTCTATGGAACTCCTTTCCTCTTACTTGCTTCCCTGATAGCTATAATCTCCAACTATTCAAATGCAGTCTGTCTATATTTCTGAGATGAGGTATTATGTACATTATTTACATTATCCATAGGACACATGGCACATTGGATAAAGTCATTAGTTAGATCCATTGACAGAGCCCAGAGAGTATGAGTTCAATACCTGGTTAAGGCAGTGGAGAACTTTCAGAGGGAAATTAACATAAGATAACTGCTAACTGGCATCCATCAAAACATGGCACGTGGAACTAGAACAGTCTACCCCAGTGAGCGAAATAAAGGGTCCGGTTCGACATTCCAACCACCTGAAGAAGGCCGGAGCGTACAACGGCCGAAACGTTGTGATAAATATGGCGACAAAGATGAGGACAATAGTCCGAATAATGTAAATAATGTATTCAAATGCAATTCCAACCGACATCTCCATGTTGTTGGCATTAAATAACCCATTGAGGTTGATATGCCGTAAAATAAAAGAAACCAAACCAATCTAAACTAAAGAATACATATTCTATTCATACGAATCTATCCTAAAAATGTTGTCGGCATTAAATAACCCATTGAGGTTGATATGCCGTAAAATAAAATAAATCAAACCAATCTAAACCAAAGAATACATATTCTATTCATATGAATATATCCTAAAAATATGGTCAGCATTAAATAACCCATTGAGGTTGCTATGCCGTAAAACAAAACGAAACGAAACCCACCTTGCTTGAGTGAAATGCTTACAAAAATATTCCAAGCTCAAATTTAATATAGACTTATTAAGTTCTTAGGATGTAAATACAGAATGTAAAGTGTAGTGAGGGAAGAAAAAAAAAGGCAAGCTTAACTTCTGTTCAAAGAGTTTTTATCAAACGGCTAAAGTCAGTATTCCACCTCTGCAAAAACAGAATCATCTGTGGAGATCCTCTTCCAGGAAAAACATTATTTGTCTAAATATATGATAATTTGAAGGGACCAAGACTGATTCCGTAATCTGAAATCCTGCATCGTCATCAAGCCCTTACTAAATTTTGGCTAACAGTCTAACTCTCTGAACCCGGACGAGGCTCCGCCGAAGGGCAGAGTCTCGTTCGGGGTGGTTGACTGCCCCTGAACCCGTTTATGCGAGTTCAAAGAGGGAATATTTTTGGCCGAGCCTACAGGTTCGGAGATCCCACGTTAAACACGGCCTTGTGACACATGTAACTCTCGTTGGGGGGAGGTAACTAAATATCACTAAATTCATATTTAATCTGTCAGTAATGATATTGAAGATGCCACAATGTTGATAGCAGATGCCGAAAAGAAATTTCAGGAACTTCTAATGAAGGTTATAAAGGATATTAAGAAAGGAGTGAACATTAACTGTAAAAACAAAAAAAGACATAATTCAGCGTGCGGCGAAAATATCTCCCACATTTTAAATGGTGAGAAAAACAACAAGGTAACTGCTATTAACAAATTTATTTCACTGTTTTTGACATAAAGGGCTATAGTTTTTATTTACTCGGTTTCAAAATGACCTCCATCAAATGGTGATCTCTATTCGCCATACACTGTTGTAGATGATTTATAAAGCCTGGACAGTTTCTAGATTTCCAGAACTACGGCGTCTTCTTGGTGGTTTTCTAATAAGCTCTGAACCCGTAGCCTTGAAATTTTAAAACTATCGATTTTCTATCTGGAACAAGCATCATTCCGACGTCACATGAAACGAGCACGAACAGCTGGGTTGCAATTACAGATTCACCGGTCTTAAAAAAAATAAAACGTTTCGACAGCAAACGCACGGTGTGCACCGGTCAAAAACCATGATGGCAACTGAAAAAAAAATTGTAAGTCATTAGCTAGTTGAAGGCACTTGCCTAAGTTCACGATCGCCATATAAGTGACAGTTTAAAGTATGAGGGTATTTCTGCCACACTCTGTATATGCTTGTCAGGAAGAGAAAGATCACAAGATGCCAGTTACAAATCAGAGAAACTAAAATCCAGTAAGAACGAAAATCTAAATATCTGGGAAATTCTTCATCAGAGGAAGAAAAATGTCACCCCAAAATTCGAAAGCGAATTGATATAGCAAAAGATGTCTTCTAAAAGTTAAGTATTGCATTAAATATTAGGAAAGTTGCGTTTGAAATAAAAAAGTATAGTGCTGAATTGTTATGTAGTATCTGTCCTCATATAGGTCAATGAATGATGAACAATTTCCTCATCAATGAAGAAGAGACTTGATGCAACAAAGACGTGACGCTACAGAAAGACGGATGTACAGAAAGACGCTACAGAAAGACGCTAATAATTTGTTTTGTCAAAAATCTATTTCTGGTAATATTGTTCCTTCAAAAATGTATTGCTGGCAATATTTTTTTTCAAAAATGTATTGCTGGTAATATTTCTTGTTCAAAAATATACTTCTGGTAATATTTTTTTCAAAAACGTATTGTTGGTAATATTTTTTTCTCGAAAATGTATTGCTGGTAATAGATTTTTTTCTTCAAAACTTTAATGCTGGTAATAAATTTTTACAAAGTATTCTGGTATTAAAACCTATTTTTAAACTTTCATAGTGTTTTGACCCCAGTTTGGGGAATTAGTTATTTACCCATTGCGGGGACCCTAACAGGGGCTACCAGCTCGGCTAATTGTTGACCTGGACACACCAGCAATTAAGAGATGGTTCCAAGCTCCTAAAAAACCTCCTGATCAGAGGCCTTGCGCCCGACATCGTTTATCGCCATATCCAGGACGCCTGCCACTAGTGAGTAAGCTACTTGATTCTTTTTAGCGGCACAATAAAGCGATCGCTATTATTTTTATGAGTTGAGAAGCCATACTAACACAGTTTTTTTGTTTTTTTTATGTTTCCTTTCCTTTTATTTTGATTGTTGCTTTCGAGAACACTCCCATCATTTCATCTGTAAATTTTTTTTATATATTTTCTAATTACATTTTAAAAGGAAAAATATTTGGATATATGAAGACATTTTAATACCAGGAGTGTTTTATCAGAATCTCTGCGAAGATGTGGTATTGTGCTAGATGCTGAGCTGGATGGAGAAAGATGGACGTTTGCGGTGATTGAAGAAATTATAAAGTGAATGAGTCGGCAGTGTTCCGTCTATCTAATTTCACGCACAAGTCTTGGATCAACTTGTGGTATGGTTTTCAGTCACTTTCCAAAAGTGCCTGACGCTGGGATCGTCCAACTCCAGACAGATAACGTCAGGATGTTTTCTTCCTGACAAATCAACCGTGGTGAGATTCGAACCCTGGTTTCATGGTCAGAAATCAAATATTCTAACCACTCGGCCACGCGCTCCTTATTCGATCTGATCTACCTCTTTTTTGACGTTAGTAAGTCGAGAGTTTTTACCTTCATTTAAAGGAATCGCTTTACGTCTTCCCTTTTGTATATTGGAATTGAAAACATCACTTGTCTTTCCCTTCAAGGATGTTATCAAACATTAGGAATTGTTTCTTTCTAAGATTGAGCAGGAATGCAAACTATGAATTAGTGGTAGGGTATATATATATATATATATATATATATATATATATATATATATATATATATATATATATATATATATATATATATACATATATAAAGGTTATTTTTATATATAAAAAAAGACTTTCGTATACTCCAAAGGTATACAAAGAAAGCCAACCATTTTGACTAGTTCCATGGCTCATTGTTTTTTATTTTAGCAGTCATTACAAACAGTTAATTCAATTTAAAAGCGGTTTACAATGAATAAATCATTATATGTTTCGCGGGCGCGATTTTTTCATTGATTAATTCTCTGTTTATTTTTTACAATTTGCCTTCGAGTTAATTTATTGCCTTTTCGATATTTTTTTTTTTTCTTTCTAAATCGTGCACGAATACGGACGGACAAAAGAAATCGAAATACAAAAGGGTGGAGGAAAAAGGAAAGCGTGCAAGAAATGTGAAAAGGTGGGGGGGAAACTGAAGCAAGAAGAAAAAGAAAGAAGAAAAGAACTTGAAAGAGGAAGAAGAGAAAAAGAAAGAAAAAAGCGACAGAGAAAAGAAAGAAAAAAAGAAGGAAAATAAACTTGAAAAGATGAAAAAAGAAATTTTTAAAAAAAGGCAAGAAAAAGCGGGAAAAAGAAGAAAAGAAAGACAGTAAGGGTAGACAATAGGAGAAAGAAAGAGAGGAAAGGAAATAGAAGTAGAAAAAGGAAAGAAAGAAAGAAAGAAAGACAAAGTAAAGAGGTGAAAGAAAGAGAGAAATGGAAATAGAAGTAGAAAAAGGAAAGAAAGAAAGAAAGAAAGAAAGAAAGAAAGAAAGAAAGAAAGAAAGAAAGAAAGAAAGAGAAAGAAAATAGGGGAAAAAAGAGAGAAAAGGAAATAGAAGTAGAAAAAGAAAAGAAAAGAAAGAAAGAAAGAAAGAAAGAAAGAGAAAGAAAGTAGGGGAAAGAAAGAGAGGAAAGGAAATAGAAGTAGAAAAAGAAAGAAAGAAAGAGACAGAAGTTGGGGAAAAGAAAAAGAGGAAAGAAAATGGAAGTAGAAAAAGAAAGAAAGAAAGAAAGAAAGAGACAGAAGTTGGGGAAAAGAAAAAGAAGAAAGAAAATAGAAGTAGAAAAAGAAAGAAAGAAAGAAAGAAAGAAAGAGACAGAAGTTGGGGAAAAGAAAAAGAAGAAAGAAAATAGAAGTAGAAAAAGAAAGAAAGAAAGAAAGAAAGAAGGAAAGAAAGAGAAAGAAAATAAGGAAAAGAAAGAGAGGAAAGGAAATAGAAGTAGAAAAGGAAAGAAAGAGAGAAAGAAAGAGAAAGAAAATAGGAGAAAGAAAGAGAGGAAACGAAATAGAAGAAGAGAAAAAAGAAAGATAGAAAGAAATAGAAAGAAAGTAGGGGAAAGAAAGAGAGGAAAGGAAATAGAAGTAGAAAAAAGAAAGAAAGAAAGAAAGAAAGAAGGAAAGAAAGAATGAAAGAAATTAAGAAAGAAAGAAAGAGACAGAAAATAGGGAAAAGAAAGAGAGGAAAGGAAATCGAAGTAGAAAAAATAAATAAATAAATAAATAAATAAAGAAAGAAAGAAAGAAAGAATGATTAAAAGAAAGAAAGAGAAAGAAAATAGGAGAAAGAAAGAGAGGAGACGAAATAGAAATAGAAAAAGGAATGAAAGAAAGAAATAGAAAGAAAATAGGGAAAAGAAAGAGAGGAAAGGAAATAGAAGTAGAAAAAGGAAAGAAAGAAAAACAAAGAAAGAAAGAAAGATAGAAAGAAAGAAAAAGAAAATAGGGAAAAGAAAGAGAGGAAATTAAATAGAAGTGGAAAAAGGAAAGAAAGAAAGAAAGAAAGACAGAAAGAAAGAAAGAAAGAAAAAGAAAATAGGGAAAGAAAGAGTGCAAAGAAAATAGAAGTAGAAAAAAGAAAGAAAGAAAAATAGAAAGAAATAACGAAAGAAAGCAAGACAAAGAAAATAGGGAAAAGAAAGAGAGGAAAGGAAATAAATATACAAAAAGGGAAGAACTACAGAAAATGAAAGAGAAATAAGAAAAAGAAAGTGAGGAAAGGAAATAGAAGTAGAAAAAATGGAAGAAAAGATGAAAAAAATATGGAAAAAAGAAAGGAAAGGATATTGACGTAGAAAAAGAGAAGAAAAAAGAAAGAAAATAAGGGAAAGAAAGGTAGGGAACGATATAGAAGTCGATAAAGTGAAGAACGAAAAAGAGAGAAAATGAAGAAAAAAAGAAATAAGAAGGCAGAGGAGAAGAAAGAAAAAAAAATTGAAGAAATGAAAGAAAAGAGAAGCAACCAGAAGTATAAAGAAAGAAAAAGAAGAAAGGAAACAAGAACAAATAGAAAGAGAAAAAAAAGAGCGTAAATGAAGATAATGAAAGAGAAAAAAATTTTAAAGACAAACAAAAAATATATTTCAAAAAACAAAGATAGAACTTTTGGAAAAAATAACTTAATTAAGGACAAAATTGAAAAAAGGCAAAATAAAAATGACTAAAGAAGTAATCATGGAACGAGAAAAATAAAAAGAAAGAATGAAAAGAAAAGAAAGAAAAGCAAAAAGAATAGAAAGAAGAAAGAAAAAAAGGAAGTAAATAAATAAAATAAAAATAGAAAAAAAAAAGAGAAAACGAAAAAAGAAAAGGTGATGTATCGTAAACGACAATATAGACATTAGAAAAATGAATAAATAAAAATAAAAAAAAATAACGAAAGAAATTACCCCGAAAACGATAGTGAAAAAAATGAAGTAAAAAGGAAAACACTGAGATAACAATACCAGTTTTTATACGGCAAATAATTTTCCCAATGCCCATCTGCCTTGAACCAAACACTCCCAATGTTCTCACTCTTTCCTTCTCTTTCTATACGCGATAACTTTTCTAGAGGTGGACGATCATGAGTCTCGTCTCATTTCTCTCGCTCTAAATCGTACAGGTATTTATTATTGATAAACATAATCTTAACAGCATAAAAAGCACAGATGACACCGTGTTGACGGTAGACTTAGAAAGAATGAGGAAGGAGGGCCTGGAATATCACTGATACTCACAGAACAGATGAGGTCATGCGGGGCAGAGGAAAAAAAACACATAGCATATTTAATGAACTTAAGTAAATGGATGGTGGAGCAGGGTTTAGGTGTAAATAGCGAAAAGTAAAATTTATTAACCGCTATAAAAGACAGAAATTTGTGGAGAGTCATGATCATCCACGTCTTGAATGGGAGACGGCGCATAGAAAAAGATCGAGCTTGTGTAAATCATTGGCAGAATAGGAATTAGAAGAGATAGCGAAAGGACAACATTTATTAAAAACTAGAAAATTGAGGAGAGCCACGATCTCCCAAGTTCTTAAGGAACACTTAACAAGAAGAAGAATAAGCATTTTTTTTTTCACATTAAGATTTTAATGTTTTTACAAGGGCCCAGGGTGAACTCGAGATAAAGGTTTACGTTATGAGGTAATTTGTGCGTATATGAGTGGAAGGTGACGGTTAATCATAGACTTGAACAGATTAAGAAGGAAGTACTTGAGGAAACATCATCTTGGGTGTTGGTTTGGCTGGTTTGTCACTATGCAAGCGGAAAGGCCTGTCCTTGCTGTGAAGGTATGAATTGGTGGTACGAAGGGCTGTCGTTCGTCCGAGCACTTTCAGTGGACGTTGCGACAGAGCAGCAGGAGATTTCTGTAAATAATTGGCAGCAAATTAGGAAAAATAACGAAAAGACAAAATTTATTAAGAACTACGAGGTTGGTGCAAAAATAATGACGTAATAATGTCGTTTTTTGACGTATTTTTTAACGTCAAAAAACGACATTATTACGTCATTATTTTTGCACCAACCTAATACAAAGGAGAGGAAATTGCAGAGATCCCTGATCGCCTACATTCTCAAGAAGAAGAAGAAGACGATTAGCCATCAATTTAAAGATAGAACATAGGAACGTCAGAAAGAGGCGAGCTAGGATTTAGTACCGTTAGAATCAAGCAGTGACAGAAATTCAAATATCTGGGAAATATTTAGACTATCTATCTCTCTCTCTCTCTCTCTATATATATATATATATATATATATATATATATATATATATATATATACACGTTTTATGTTTATACGTTATTTTTATGGATACTACTTATTTAAGTAAGTGCTCTAATTTTAGTTAGTATTAATTACATTTATCGGCCTGAATGTTCGAAAAGTTTCGTAGAAAATAATGCGTCCTCTGACAGGAATCGAACCTGTATCCCGCACGGAAACCGTCATTTGGTCTAACGTGCTGTTAACCATTCAGCCACAGAGAACTTAGCAAAGTTCAAATTACTGTTTATAAACACACATCATCGACAATTGCTCTCGATATATCATTTCTGCTCCGAAACGTAAGCTAACGTAAGCAATGAAAACATTATATGAAATGGATTAAATCCGACAAATATATTAAAATATTTATCGGATTTAATCCATTTCATATGCTACACACACACACACACAAAAAAAAAACACACACACACAGACACACACACAGAGATATATATATGTATGTAGAGAGAGAGAGAAAGATAGATATAAACAGACTGAGATAGATAGATAGATAGATAGATAGATAGATAGATAGATAGGAACAGACTGAAAGAGATAAATAGATAGATAGATAGATAGATAGAAACAGACTGAAATAGAGAGATAGATAGATAGATAGATAGATAGGAACAGACTGAAATATATATATATATATATATATATATATATATAGATAGATAGATAGATAGATAGATAGATAGATAGATATAGAACAGACTGAAATATATATATATATATATATATATATATATATATATATATATATATATATAGATAGATAGATAGATAGATAGATAGATAGATAATGGGAACAGACTGAAATAGATAGATAGATAGATAGATAGATAGATAGATAGATAGATAGATAGATAGATAGATAGAAACAGACTGAGATAGATAGATAGATAGATAGATAGATAGATAGATATAAACAGGCTGAGATAGATAGCTCGCCAAATTTAGAAGGTGATAGTAAGAAAAATTAATATATTAAAAATAACCGGAAAGAAAACTAGATAAACAATAAGTTTGATAAATATAAGAGAAATTAGTAATGAACTATTTCTAAAAAAATAGAACATTTTTTCGTCAAATTAAGATTTGTTCGGGTAAGCATTTCGTCTTTATTTATCTTATCCCTATTTTCGGCTGATATGTTCTTCAGCCTGCTATCAAATTCTGCCAGCCTTTAGTTTGTCAATCCGTCAGGAATTAATATTCTCAACATCGCTGTCTATATTATAAGTATTATGTCCCAGCTGCCTGCTAAGATGCCCGCTAGGGGGCGCTGATTCAGAACTATTAAACAAATTGTCCAATAAATCCTTTTTCTTCTTTTTTTCCTCCTGAATGTAGGAGCAATAATAAGATTTTTTCCGGGATAGCAGACCCCTTAATTTCAAAGGAGCCACGTGGCATCATAAACACACACACTCACACTAGGACTAAATACGTAAATGTGCTCACTTTTCAAAAATCTACATACATGTTCTGTCTCTTCTTTGTCTTGTTCTGTACAAAAATAACCCCCCCCCAAAACAGGCATCCCAATGCGATCTATTATATGAAAGAAAAAATAGCATACCCGACAAACAAAAAAATGGTTTAATAATACACACACACACACACACACACACACAAATATATATATATATATATATATATATATATATATATATATATATATATGATTTAAATTAAATTTAAATTTCAACAAAGGAATGACTCCTATCCAAAATATAGAAGGAGAAATCCAGAAGATGGAGGTCGCATTGAGTAATACTGAAAGGCATCATGTTTCCTCACAAATTATAACAATGATTTAAAATCAATCATCATTTTCTTACGAAAAATGTGTGACACGCAACAAAGCCCAAGTAACTCGGATAGTATATATATAAAACAAAGAAACGGACAGACAGACATTCTCTTAGGTTTCGACATTGGATGTCATAAGTCAGCTTAACTTGATTTATGGCTCCGGCTTATCCTCAGAAAGACCAACACATTTTGTTCACATACAGTTGTGTCTTTCTTTCATTCTTATCGGATGAAGCCAGAGAGGCATACACACTTGGGGAAATGCCTTGTTAATAGATTTCCCACTTTGTCTCATCTTTACTTAAATATATGTATAAAACCCCTCTTCGTGTTGAATCCATTTTATTCGACCGTGTTAAAAGTCACGTTTATTTACTGACATCATTGTAATCGTACAACACACTCCCCGGTCGTCTAAGACTTCCAACACCGCGGCTGATCGATGAAGATCGCGTCGATCTCAGACCTGCCTTATCCCACGTTTTAAGTTTGATCATAAGGCAGCCAAGATCGAATCGTCGCAGTTATCTTCGTGTCGGGCTGGCCCAGTCAGGGCGAAGACGTACAGGAAAAAAATAAATTGAACAAAAAGTAAATACTATTTTTTATGTCAGTCATTCGTACAATAATTGGTTATATCAGAGTTGGCATGAAATCACGTCTAATAAATCGGAAGTGGTGTTGTTGGTTTTCTGTTTTGATAAAGTTCGATACAAGGCTGAAGTCGGGGGGGGGTCTCTTCAGCAGGCAAATCAGGTGTGAGGGCGTATCACGACCGGTGGCTGGGACAAAATCTCTGCCATCTCTCTTCTGTCTCCGTCTCCGTCTCTGTCTGGCGTATTCACTTCGAGCATTCGTATTTATTGACGTTGATCTTACTGGGGTAGCTTTTTCTCATTCTGTTGTCCATGTCTAAGGATATCTCATTTAGTTTTTATCTATTATTGTTTGTGAATTGCTTAATCCATTTCCACTGAATACAAGTACACAGTGTTCGACTCAGCCAAAGAAATCACGATTACTATATGCTGTATCCTTAAATAGGTTACAAACAAATGTGGTACTCGAGTGAAGGAACAGCAACACGCGCGTAGATGAGAAGAGAAGTTTATTGTAAAAGAGAATACACTACTGAAAGGCAGGGTATCGGATGGCAGGCTAGTAATTCACGAAGCAAGGATATCTACCAACCGCCCAACACGGTCAGATGTGGCACAAGACCGAATTTAATGTGGGATATCCGAGACCGTATGCTCGGCCCAAAATTCTCCGTATAAAACGGGTCGGGTATCTCTTTCCTGAGACGAGACTCTGGGCTTCGACATAGCCTCGTCTGGAGATCCTCTCTGCCCAGAGGCAGAGAGTTTGACCAGCACAGCTGGAGACGAATCGCCAACTCTAGACTAATTCCCGAAGCAAGGTTATTTACCTTACCTCCCCACGAACCAGGATGTGGCACAAAGCCGTTTTTTTTAATGCAGGACAAAACCGAGTCCGTAGGCTCGGGCAAAAATTCCCCGTAGACCCCGTATACACGGGGTCGGATAGCTGTCTATCACCCCAGATAAGACTCTGCCCTTCGGCATAGCCTCGTCTGGGTTCCTCTTTGCACAGCTGGAGACGAATCTCCAATTAATTCCCGAACGAAGGCCCCTGGTATATCCTATGTTCACTATATATAGGTACTGATATAGTCAGTCCACATAGGCGATACGGAGTGTGGGACACTCCATTAGAACATTATACCATCAAATTCGCTTAGGACAATTCTGAATCCAGAACTTGGAGCCTTAAACCTAACCTACCTGCTTATGAATGCTACTGCTGGTACCGGTCATGCTTCATTACACTCACTCAGATTTCTCCTTTTACTGCAGCCGCTGCTTCTGTTGAAGCTTTGCTGTCATTCCTCTTTCTTTCTTTATTATCGGCTCCTATATCGTATTAGGATGTGTGTTGTTGTGTAATGGCTATCGGCTCGGAATGAGAACATGGAGAGCTGAGTTTGAATTGTTGTTGAATTGCAGATCCCCCAAGAGCGTATCACGCACGGCACTTAAATGACTGATATTGAATTTATTTCTATACTAGGCCTACTAACACTACTTAGACAATCATTAGTCGAAATATTGATTGATACGTTTTCTTCGGCTTATCGACACTGGTTATTTAAATTCAGAAAGTATATTTAGGTGGTAATAATTATTTTTGAAGTTGATAATGATTTGGTGATACAAATCTTACTAATTAACCCATAGCAGAGGGAAGGAGAGATGGATTCATATATTTCCCGATGGTATTTGGGTGTAAATGAATATAACGAATCCAACTGAAATTGGAACTCGACTCTTCGATTAAAAATTCCGAGTCATTATCCATTACACGACCCGTACATCCAAGCATACATCACCTGGTATTCCCAAGCAGTTACCCATATAGTTACCGACAACATTCAACATTGCTTAACTTCGGTGTTCGTACGGGAACCGGTGTTTAAATGCTATGTGTCCGTATGCCCATTGAATTGAAAGAGACAATCGTCCTAGCGTGTATCACGTATAACACTTAACTGAATGACATCGTATTTTTTATACACTAGTCTTACTAAGGAGATCCTCATAGCCAAGCATATGCAATGAGTCTTTCAAACGTCTGACTCTCCAAGTTTCTTCCTTATCTATCTAGTACTTTTAATTCATACAAATTGGGTTGATTATCCTTTTATACATGATCCGCTATACCTAATTATCTCTTTATACATGATCAGCTATGCCTGGTTTCGTTTTCTTGCTTCTAATGACGTTTTTTTGATGTTCCTTACGCTTACTTTTAAAAAGACTGAATTAGGTTTGTCTCAATAGTAAACCCGGCAGCGCTGACAAAGTCAACCTGGCCGCTGCTCTCGAAAAGGACCTTCAATCAGTGGTTAACTGGGGTAGGAAATGGTTTTGTAAATTTTAATCCCCCCCCCAAACGAAGCTGCTCTCATTTAGTCACCGCAGAGATAATTCCCTGTCCGCTATTAACATGTTTAATGCGAAACTCCAAGAGAGTGTCGCTCTGCGCCTTCTTGGCCTTACGCTTTCGAATGACTTGATATGGGACACATTGAATCAATAGCTGCATCTGCTGCAAGAAAAGTTGGCTCACTGTGTCGTGCCATAAGCTTTTTCTCGTCAAAGTCTATCCTGCACATCTACAAATCTGCCGTTTGTCCGTATATTGAGTACTGTTGCCATATCTGGTCTGGTGTCCCAGATGTTCATCTCGAGATGAGTAGTAGTATTCTAACCCGAAGGAGGCTACGCCGAAGGGCGGAGTCTCCTTCGGGGAGGTAAAACCGGCCCTGAACCCGTTTATACGGGTTCAAATGGGCTATTTTTTGGCCGAGCCTAATGGCTCGGGAATGCCCATGTTAAAAAGGCCTTGTGCCACATGACACCCTCGTGGGGGGGGGGGGGTGACTCAATATCGATGTTCATCTCGAGGTTATCGACAAAATCCAAAGAAAGATCTGCAATGTAATCGATACTGAATTGGAATCTCGACTCCCTTAAGTTTTTTACAGACGTGATGTGGCTTCTCTCTGTCTTTTCTATAAATATTTCCATGGGTACTGTTCTGTCGATCTTTTTTTTTTCCACGTGCTACAATTGCATGAATTTAACCGTGCTAATAGATTGGAAGTTAGGTCCCACCCTTTTACTCTTGAAATAGTTAAATGTAACCGCTACTTCCACGCCAAAAGCTTCTTTTCTCGAATTTCCCGCCTGTGGAATTCCTTTCCGTTTATCTAATTCCCAGATAATTACAATCGTCAAGAATTTAAATGCAACGTCAATCGCCATCTTCTGATGTCTTGAACCCCATCCATCTTTTCATCCTTGCCTCATTCCCCCTATACAAATTTTTTCTACCACCTTCACTCTGTGTAATCCCCTACGAACCAGTGACACTCCTGCTTTGCTTGGGGTGAAATGCTATGAAAAAAAAAGGTTTATTTTGGAACTTCTCAACTTTTCGTTGCAAACTGTAGCTCAGTTTTGCAACCATATCATCAGTTCTACGTCGACAAAATCTGTAGCAAAAGAAGCCAAAATTTATTAAAAAAAAAAAAAAAGAATCAAAAAGAAATTTAAAAAATGAGTCGAAAAAAATTCATTTGTTTTCTATTCGTTACGTAAAAGTCTCTGTCATTTGCTTTCCTTCCCAGAACTCAAGACCCATTAAAAATGACCTTCAAGATTATTATTCGCGAAAACTGAAAGCCTAACTTGCTTAATGATGTGTCAGTTGTTTATCCGGATAAAATGTTTCAAGGAATTTTCGTTGGAAACGAAGAGGAAATTATCACTGAAACATAATAGCCGTATCGATAATGAGCGGGAAACGTGCTGATAAAAATATTACCTTGTTATTTACAGAAAGTATTTCCTGAAAATAAATCTGTCTCTAAACAACTACTAATTCGCTTTCACTTATCTATCTATCTATCTATCTATCTATCTATCTATCTATCTATCTATCTATCTCAGTCTGTTGATTATCTATCTATCTCTATATTTATATATCTTAGTCTGTTCATATCTATATATCAATGTATCAATCTCTCTCTCCCGCACACACACACACAAAACACACACACATATATATATATATGTGTGTGTGTGTATGTGTGTGTTCATATTCATCTATTTATCTATTCCTTTCCTCTCTCTCTCTCTAAATATATATATATATATATATATATATATATATATATATATATAGAGAGAGAGAGAGAGAGAAAAGAAAGAAAGAGAAAAGAAAGAAAGATAGATAAAGAAAGAAAGAAAGAAAGAAAGAAAGAAAGAAAGAAAGAAATGATCTGACGTGGTTTTAACCTTTTGGCTACAGATCTAATGAACGTTTCCGCTAGGAGAACGCTGGTTCGAATCCTGTCGGAGAGAGTATATTTTTTTCTAATAGGATTTCTAAAATATTCAAGCCGGTAATGATAATAAATAAACATATTGTTTCGTAAATAATCAGAGCATCTACTAAAATATCGATATCGACTAACAATAACGTTCTTGTAATATTGTCCTATAGTGTATTTGTTTGTTTTTATTTTATTTTTTTCGTTTTTCATTTTTTAGGTTACGTAGTAAAAATTTATTTTCATACGTAACCTAAAAAAAAAAAACGGAAAAAATAAAATAAAAACAAACAAATACACTAATAAAAAAAAAATAAAAATAAAATAAAATAAATAAATACTATGTTGCTTAAAAACCGAAAACCGAAAAGAGAAAATATACAAATAAATTGACCTAAATTCATCCAAGTAAATAAATAAACAAACCAATCCCAAATTAAAAACTGTTCCCGCCAAAAAATAATAGTTAGAATGAACTACAACAACCAACCCCAAAATTGAACAAATAGCTTTAATTAAAATCTCAAACCAAAACAAAACTGTTAAATACGTGATATAAACAAATTTTTACTACGTTAATAAATAAATAAATATATAAAATAAGAAACAAAAAAATAAAAACGAGCAATATAATTTGACCCAAATAAATAAACAAAGCGACTTCCGGTAAAAATAACCGCCATAATAGAATACCCACAATGCACCACTAACCCGTATATATATAAATAGCCGAGAAAAATAACAGCATATGTGGCCTGACGATTGCATATAGCATGAAACAGACTGTCGCCTCTAAGTGTTGACTTTTATGTTCACTTTTATATTTACACACGCTCTATCTCTGATATTGAGCACTTTATCCCATAAATATAGCACACCTTAAGACTATATTTCTTTATATATATATATATATATATTTATATATATATATATATACGTATTCACTAGCATCACTCCACTATAGTCGACCTATGAAATTTTTTGTCTATCCTCGTACATATATTGAGTGTAAAACAAATAGAATAGCTATCGAGCTGGTGTTGATGAATCAGTGTAACCCGGATATAAGAGACCCGGATATAAGAGAAACCCGGATATAAGAGAGATTTTCTCTGGTCCCAAATTAGAGCCTGTGTTAATGTATATAAAATAGACCAAACCCGGATATAAGAGACTTCTTCTCCGGTCCCAACAATTCTCTTATATCCGGGTTACACTGTATATATAACATGATTTTGTTTGATTTGTTTTACGGCAAATTAACTTCAATTATGTTATTTAATGCCGACAAGTATTTTTTGTTGTTGTTTTTTTATTTTATTTTTTATTTATTTATTTATTTATTTTTTTTTTGCTGGTAATATATTTTTTTCAAAATATGTATTGCTGATAATATTTCTTTCTAAATATATATTGCTAGTAATATTTTTTTTCAGAAATGTGTTACTGGTATTAAAACATATTTTTACATTTTCATAGTGTCTTGACCCCAGTTTGGGGGTTAACTATTTGGCCATAGCTCGGAACCTAACAAGGTGGACCTGGGAACCCCAGCAATTAAGACGTGGTTCCACGCTCCTCAAAAACGTCACGATCAGAGGCCTTGCTGCCTGATGTAGTTTATCGTCATTCCCAGAAAGATATAAGATGAAACAACTATTTAATCCTGTCGTAATAGTTAGTTAATCTGTTCATTCGATAAGGTCAAATTGGTAGCTGACCTCAAAAATCACCTACAATTTTTTTTTTCTTAAACTGGAGAAGGAATGGGTTATTTATCCGAAAGAAAACTGACATTTAATCGTCTAAGAGAAACGTTTCTGCCTTCCATCAGTATGACTGATGCTAAACTTATTGCACTTGTTCGGGCCAAAATTTTCCGCTGACATGACGTGGAAAGATTATATTGAATAAATTGCTAAAATTGCTGCTAGGAAATTTAAATACATTGTGTCATGCTAGACAATTTTTTCTCGTCTGATTCTAACTTGATACATTCACTATTCGTACATGTGTTGAATATTGCTGCCAAATCTAATCTGTTATGTATTTAAAGATTCTGTAATGTTGTTGGTTTTGATTTTGGCATATCGTCTTCAGTCTTTTTCTCACAGCCGTAACGTAGATTTTCTGTCTCTTTTATTTAAATATGTTCATGGTAATTGTTCTGGTAAATTTTCTTCTATGATACCTTGACTTTATGAATTTTAGAGAAGTAAGAAGATTGGCGGCAATGTCTCGTCATTTTACCGCTGAAATCCCTGGAATAGTTTCTTCTATCGCAAACCTCGCGTGTGGAACGGGCTTCCGGTTTCCCAGTCAATTTTGAAACAGAAAAATTTACATGCAATATCAATCTTCTGTCTTCCTAATTCCTGTTCTTGTTTTGTTCAAGCTTTTTAATAATATCTATTTTCATATATTCTTTCACAATATCTGGGAAGTGTCTTGACAAGAGGACGGTAAGTGCGACACTGAGATCCGTAGATGTATTGGGATGGCCAAGGACGCACTCCAAAAGCTGGGCAGAGTATTGTGAAACAGGGGAATTTCTTTGGTAACAAAGAAAAGAATACGTGATATA